AATCTGAAGGTTTTGCAGGATTTTCTGAGGGAGGGTATGGGTGGATACGAATTTGATTCGCTTTTGGAGAACTGTTATTGGTATCTTTATAAATAACATCAGTATTTTCATCAATATTGATATGATTATAGATGCTATTATTAACTTTTTTGTCAATTTCTTCTTCTTCGTATATCTCCAGAATTTTTTGATCTAATAATTTAAAAATAGGAATTTGTTCAAAACAAATTACTATTATTCTTAAATTATTATCTATTATATAAAATGTTTCATCCATTTCGACTAATGGATTAATTTCGGTTAATTCATCAACGTTTAATTCTGATTTGGAACATTTACATTTAAAAAATTCAGGAACAATAATGTGTTCGTTATTTTTTTTGAAATGTATCTTTACAGTTGCTGGTTGTTTCTCAATAACAATATGAAATTCATCATTTCCATATTTTCTAATAATGCTAACTGGAGAATTGGCGATGAATAATTTTTTATCATTGTACGAGATAACAATTTCAGAATCCATTTTTTGTTGATCAATTTAGACTATTAATATTTTTATTTAATACGTACGTACGTACAGTATTCAAAATTAGGGTTTGTGCCCACATATTAGTCACACAGATGATCTAAGGTCGTACACGTAAGTACGCACGTACGTACGATGCACGAACTGGAATCAGTGAATATTTATGTAGCTAACAAAATCTTATATTTTTTATCATAAGCTAACAAATACAATTGTGAAATAGGCATTTTTAGGTTTTTGGGTGCTAGTATTCTTAAGGTATTACGGGCTGCGAAGTCTGCGCAGATCGAAAAATCTACAATTCGTCTCTAGTATGGTGACCAGAATAGTGCGTGTATATTATGGAGTGTAAAATACCTATTTGACACATATAAAAAATAGTTCATATTTTGTAATACGATCTTTGACATACGTATTTTGGGTTTTTTATCTTATTAACGTTAATTCGAGTTGGCAATAGGTCACCAGATCAAAAAGGCAGCTAAGCAGTGATGCATTAATGAACCAACAATCATATGGATAATCGCGATTCCAACAAGAAAATCCGGTATATGCAAGGAGAAAGATAAAAAAAATTTAATGCATTACCAATTCAAGGTTTGTGGCGCGATCACAAATATAACTAAATTTGTCAGGCATACGTGACAATAACAAGACACATAAAACATACCGGTGGATCTAACAGTTCTCCAAAAGCGAATCAAATTCGTATCCACCCATACCCTCCCTCAGAAAATCCTGCAAAACCTTCAGATT